GTCATGTCAGTTTCATTCTGACTCACAAGTATCCTTTTCCAGTTACAGTTCCCAATTTGCATTGATCATTATGCTGAACTCAGAAATAAGCCACTGTTTGGCAGGTTTTTAGTTGTTGTTTTTTTTTTTACAAATACTGCTTGTAATTTTAACCATTGATTGAATAAACAGGAAAATATGTTAACATTACAGGTTGTAATCTTTGCTTAGGTCAGAGAATGCAGCATTTAGAGAGAAAGACCGATGCATCACTGTGCCCAATGGTTACACACTCTTTTAGAGGCACATGGAGGTACCCTAATGTTTGATGTACAGGGTTTACTTGTGAGTAATTCTCTTTCTGCATCTAATCATCAAAGCAAAAGTACGAAATGTAACAAGGATGACTTCAGGTATACACCGGACTATGGACACCTGATAACCCCACAGGAAACCCAGGAGATCTCTCACTTGGGGCAATCTGCGACTTACATTTTGAATCCGCCAACAAATAATACACGTTAACTGTCACTGCTAGAATTTCCTTTAAACTCCGACCTCACACAGCCTCTATATATTCACTGCCTGTACTGGAGCACATTTGGACCACTCTGTCCTAAAAATGGAGCAGCCTGCGGTGTGAGGTGAACCTGGCACCCACTACCACAGTCGGCTCCTAAAATAACCCCTCTAAGAAGCCTCCATAAGGGATTTATGAATGGCAATCTGAGCCCTTAGCGCCCATACATCATATGGCGACTAATGTATGTGGGCTAGCAGAGTGAACAGTGGCTGGCAGCGGGGAACAAGGTGATATCTTTCCCAAAACTGCAGCAGCTAGCCGTGACGTTATATCGTCAGCTAGGCCTGTTAATCAATGGAGCTACGAGCTAGCTGAGAGATACACCGTCTTCCATGTGAACACTAAGCACAGACAGCGGTGTAGTGTGCAAGTATGGACACATTAGAGCCTCGACAGGTAGACATTACGCCACCAATCGCCCCACAGACACGCAGCGCCCGAGCTAGCGAAGCTAAACGGAGCTAATGCCCAGAGCTAGCTGGCTAACTGTCAAGAGCAGAGGAAATCCGACTGAACGTCTCCTTCAGTAAACACTCACATGTCACAATCGGCTTGTTTTCCATAGTGTAGATTATCGGCTTTTCCTCTTGACACTCCATATGTGTTAGCGGTAGCACTCCATGAAAATGACATACAAACAGAGCTTTATTATTAGTAAATGCTTATGTATGCAGTTGTGTTGAATCGATGGGGCCTGTGTCCCACTGCACTTCCGGGAAGTGCGTAAATTGTGCGTCATTAAAGGGGCAACCTGTGCTTTTATAACAATAGACATCACAGGTTGAGATGCATTAGTACGTTTGTATTACTTGTTGAATACGCCATATTCAGATATTTTACTTTAATAAAAGTTTATTATTGTTATTATTATAAAATTAGTACTCAGCTAGTATAACCAGTAAACCGTACAATCAAAAGTAAAATAATACATACAAAAGAATGGCCCCTGAGTGTTATATTATTAGATATTGTATTGTACAGTGTATAAAATCACTTGGGATGTGGTGCATAAGGTGGGGGAATGGGAATCAAATTTTAAGTAATCAGACTGGTCAAAAAACTATGCTGCCACAGAAAACATTCAACAAAATTTGGCCACTTGATCTAGTGTTGTGTGACGTTAAATTACCCTGGCGTCAATAATTTTTTGCAAGGTATTATATGAATTATATTTGAACACATTTTTAAATTGCTCTTTGATAGAAATCTGATTTAAAAATCCTTATTGCAAAAAGGTGAGGGTAACCGATGACAAAAATCTAATATCTAAAACATGTTATTGTATTTCATTTTCTTTGAACATTGAATTCTGTTTCCTGAAGATAAACTGTTATTTATAGCTGTAATCCTAGAATGTCACTGCAATTTGTCACTGTCCCAGAGCTTGTTAACCCCTAGCAGATTTATAGTTTTCAGTGGGAAGTTTAGTAGTCTAAATGCTATTTAGGTTTTCAGTCCTGGTTGGGTGAAACGACAAGGGAAACACATACGACCATTTTACCATATGGTCAGATTAATGGTGATTAATACTAAACACTGCTTATTAAGTGTTTAAATCTAAATAATATGATCTGTTCTTAATAACCTATATTTTCTTTTATGTGTTAACTAAAAAAAATAAAAACTCATCTGCGTCACAATGAATATATATAGGTCTATGTAGCATTTATTAATTCAATTCATTTAAAAAGCAGTCAGCTCATCAGCACTCAACAAACAAAAATGCCATGAAGTATTTCATCAAATAAAAATAAATCTGTCATGTAGTTTCAACACCCTGTTCTGTTTTGGATGATACATGTACATGGTGAGGGATCATTGACAGTATATATAAGGAAGGATACAATTCTGCCATCTAGAGGTACAAAGTTGTATTGCAGAAATTGTGTCAATGAGATGTTGAGGTTACTCACTTTTATTAAAATAAAACAAACATCTACAGACAAACACAAACATACAAACTTTTGTTCATTCTCATTTTCAGTTATTTGGCTTTTCCATTCATTTTTTCTGCCCTTCATCTTTCTGCCCCTTCTCTCTTGTTTCTGGGTCTTCTTCAGCTTTTTCTCTCCCATCTTCAGATTCTCTCTCTCCACTTTTCTCTTCTTTCTCGCCTTCAGGTTCAATCTCAGCTCCATCTCCTTTTCCAGGTCTGTCATCTCCTTTCTCTCTGATTTTCTCTCCATCATCTTCTTCTTGCTTTCCCTGATCATCAGGGTCTTTCAGCCCAGATTTATCTCCCTCCGTCATCCTTTCCACATCCTCTTTTGTACTTTTGGTGCTCTCTCCATCTCCCTCTTTGGTCACATCATTACTATCGTCTCCCTGTTTTTTTACTTTTGCATCTGAACCCTCCTCTTCCTCTCCCTCTGCCTCTTCTCGCTCCCATCCAACCTCCCCTCCCACCCCTTCCCCTCTTCCCTGTGCTCTTTCTCCTTCTTCCCCATCTTCTGGAGGCTGACACTCTAGTGCTGCCACCTCCCGCTCCAGCTGCTCCACTCTGCTCTGCATCTTGCGGTTGCTGGACTCTAATTCCGACATAAGTCGAGCTAGTTTTGTTTGTAGGATTTCCAAATTCCTCTCCAGCCTTTCTATCTTGGTTTCCACTTTCACTACCTCACCCTCCTCTCCCTCCCCACTCTCCTCCAACATGCCCATCTTAGTGAGGATCTGTCTGCCTTTCTCCTCCAGGTGACGTTTGGCTGCAGGGAACTCAGATAGCACGTCTGTCAGGTCTTCTTTGGACAAGCTGAACAGGTCAGAGTGGCCAATGCTTCGGATGTTGGCGGTGCGACGATTACCTGACTTGTTACCTAAAAGAAAACATGTTGTGATGTCATTAAATGTTTGGTGAGATATTTAAAAAACAGAAAAATATCAATAGACACAATATGAACTGTTATCCAAAGCAAGCTCATTTCAGAGTTAAAAGTAACATTAGGGATATATTCTTGCTGCTAACCCTCTTAAATGAAAGGTCAATATTATTAGAGTAATATTTAAGGAGTTAATTAAACATAAAGTTGTTTAATTAACATTTTCTATTAACAGATTAGCATTACAGATGTTAACATACTTTATTAACTCTGCATGGCTAATGTGTGCAACATGGGATTATTAACAGTACTGCTCACTGCTTTGTTGCTTTGCAGTGAATAATGCTATTATGTTATTGCATCAATGACTTGCTTTGTTGTCAAAAATTAGCCAGCTAGTTATCACTGGCACACTGGCAATCGTGTTGAATAGTGTGCATTGTCCAGTTATGCACCCTGTACAGAGATAAATCCAGAATGTGTTTGCATAAAGACTGGAAGCAGCAATCCTCAAATTTATTTGTTGTTGGTAGCTTGAATAAAATAATTAGTTTGGCCTGAAGCACACATGCTGTAATGTCATGGAGATGAAGTGTAAGACAACACAACCACGCTAGAGACCCCTCAGGCCTAAAACATTCCTGGCCACCCCAGTTTAATGTCAAATGCTGTCAAATTTTACACATACACAAACATAATGTGTTAAAAACATAAATCAATTTAATGATCAGATTAGTGATAGAAGTGATAGGTTAAAGTTAAATAAAAAAAGACATATTTACATATATTATTTGGAAAAATGTCTGAAGATTTGGAAATAAAACAATTTATTGGTTTCTAATGCCACTTTTAGATATGTCTATGCAATGCTTTACTGTGCTTAATGTGACACAATAATGTAATGTTGTTGAGTTTGAGTATCTTCATTTAGGGGCTTTTCCAAGCAGGTGTGATTATATATGATTACATATATTATATATGTGATTAAAGCAGCATATATTTCTGCCACCCTCTTGGGTGATCCTCTCATACTATCACACACTCGTACTAGTGTTGTACAATACTTCAGCATTCTGGCCTTAGAGCCTTACTGTTCCACCTCAGAGGACTTGTAAAAACCTCATCCACAGGATCTTCTCATGCACATTATCTTTGACAAATTTAAGGTAAGGACTAACTTCCATGAGTACAAAGCCACTAGCAAGATCCAAAAGCACCACAGAAAGCTTTCTCTCTTTGCACCAAATAATAAATTGATATAACATATATTATATAATATAATAATAGTCTCATATATTACCTTTTTGCACTGTTCTACTGGACACTAGACTCACCTTTGATATTGAGGATACTAATTTCCCCAAAGAAATTCCCTTCACCCAGTACAGCAAACTCTGTGACACCATCATCTGCTACAACTGCAAGTTTTCCCTCTCTGATGATGTACATTTCATGGCCCACATCTCCTTTTTTGCAGACGTACTCTCCTGGACTGAACACCTGCATGGCAAAAGGCAGGAGAAACAATTCTTTATGATCTAATCTGATGGATTAGATAACAAACTGGCCATAGCAAAAGGGTTGAATTTAAATCTTTGTGACAAGACTATTCCAGAGAATCCAAAAAGAGGCAATTAAGTTACAACACAACAAAAATTCAACTATTTTCTATATTTCACTGTTGTTCTGTCTCGAATGGACAGGGGCTGCTCCTTATTTTCTGTCTTATATTAGTGATGGTTTGGATGATCATTGACAATGACAACAGTGGAGATGGCGTGAACTTGTGCCTCGTGTGTATTGTATTTATTGTATTTGTTGTTTTACTTCTGTATTTATTATATGTTTGACTGCTGTCTATAATGCACATTGACTTCTTCCATTTTATATACTATTGCTCACACCCAGCAACATGGCTTTTGGTGGGGCTAGCTGTCCAATCCCAACCCAATGCCTTTTACTCCTGATTCCAAATAAAGTGGCTTATCACAGAGTTTTTACCCAAACACTATTGTTAGGTCTACCCCTAACCATATAGGCAACATTTTTAAATATTTAAATAATAATGTTGGGGCTTTGAACCTAAATATAAATGAACTGTCACATGAACTGAGCCTTGGTTTTCCCATCCCAATCCCACGATGAGTTAGTGCTACCATTACAACATTTTCTATTAGACCAAGAAGCCTACAGAATAAACAGGACAATGGTCAGTGACAGTTGGTTCATAATTTTGTAACTTCTCATGTAATGTTTCATATATAATTGTCATTGTCGAATATAAGTTGAAGCACACTCTCCAATTTTGTATACTTATTTATAATTTACAGAAAGTTTGACTTATGTATAGACACTGTATGTTGTTGGTTTATATATATATTTATATGCATTTATTTTTTCACCTATGCAGATTATAGTTAAATGTTTATGTTACCTATCTTTCAGCTTTGTTATCCTTGTTTTTAGCTGTGTGTCTATTTCGTCCAGCTATTTCCTGAAAATTGTTCATTTGTAACATTGAAAGCTACTTAAAACTGGAGTCAGATTCCTTGCATTTACACGTACACCAATAAAGCTGATCAACGACATCTAGCAAATATTGATTATTGACTGACTGACAAATCTGCACAAACATGTATTCTTGGCAGATTGCTGTAACAACAACATCATTAATTCCACTGTTTTCACATCGTGATGGAGGATAAAATGATGGTCATTCTGTATTTACAGAATTGTTTGATAAAACTCATGAATGTACGGTATCAGACTAGACTGTAGCTACATGGCTACACACCACCACCAACCCAGCTCTTTGCAAGTGCTATTTTCTGTTCTCAATGCACACTAACAACATTGCTCACCAACCCCAACACCTTTCTTAACTCCTTGAGCCACCTGTACTCTTTGGCTTCGTTCATACTGCAAGCTTTAGTGCTCAATTCTGATTTATTGCTCAGATCAGATTTTTTGGTTTGTTTGGCTGTTCACATTATTTGTTAAATATGTCCCATGTCAGATTCCAGTGTGAAAAGGTCACCGAAAGTCGCATTGCAAAAAATTAGACTTGCATCTGATTTGGACCACATATGAAAGTGGCCCAAATCAGAACTGAAAAGATAATATTCAGTGTGATTTGTGCTGTTCACACTGTCATGAACAAAACAGATAAGTCACATATGAACAAAAAAAAAATGGGTCACTTGTGCCTGCAGTGTAAACATAGCCTCAGACTGCCATCTTTCCCACCCTTACCTGAGGTGTTAGTTTAAGCACCAGCTCCTCCAGCAGACTTTTCTCACAGCTCTGGAAGATGGTGACTTTGGAGAGTGTGGGAAGGTGAACACTGACAGCGATCTCTGTTCTCAAGTGTATGGGCAGCTGCTCCAGGATTTCATTCTCTCGCATGATCTTCTTGTTGATGTGAAGGTGCTGGTACCAGTTGTCGATACGTTGTCTAAGCTCCTTGCTAATGTGATGGCTACGCAGGTATGCTTTCACCTGAAAGAGGAAGAAAATAAGTAGAACCTAACCAAAGAATGTAATTAAACATGAAGCCATCTCCCAGTCAGTTCACTTGGTGCCAGACCATATAGGTTATCAGATGGAAGACTCATCTTCCAACTTACCAGCTCATGGTTAGGGAAGAAGACATTGTCACGATCCCTTAGGTTTGTGATGACCGTGCCAACATTGCCAACAACCGATGCAAACACCAGCACAGCAATGAGCAGGTCTGCAATCATAAACAAGTACTCCTCTTCTTGTTCTGGTAGTGGTGTGTCTCCTACTGTGGTGAAAATCAGGGCAGAGAACCAGAAGCAGTAAAAGTACTGACGACGCATGGAGGCAAACTCTGAGTTGGTCATGTTTGGGTACACCCAATTGTCACTTCCAAAGCCGATGTAGCTGGACAGTGCGAAGTAGAGACAGGCATTCCAGTGGATCAACACAAAGATGTAGATCATGAGCTTGGAGATGCGGAAGGTGTTGGGGTAGGAGGTTCTCGTCTCCATGCGATCCATGGCCTCGTTGAGTCGTGGCATTCGCAGAAGGCGGTTGATCCTTAACAGCGGGGTTTGGATGCCAAAGACAAAGTAGAGGAAGTCGGTGGGCAGCAGGGACATCACATCCCTTAGGAAACGTATTGAGTGCAGGTAGCGCTTCTTCAAATGAGTTAGGTCCTTGATCAGGATGCCTTGTTCCAAGTAACCTGGGAAGGGATACAAGGTTTAAAAGGCCAGAACACAGTAAACACATTGGTACAATGGCCTAGTCAGAGCATAAATTGACACTAACTATTGGGGAGTATAGTTAATATTACTTTCATATCATAAATGGAAGGTAGCAATAAGAAAGATTTCCATGTTTATGACTTCATCTGAAAAAGCTCATGGGTTAACATGGTCATGGTTAACATCCATTGACTATTATTAAATTATAGCCGAGATTGCTTTTTCAGGTACTTCTATAATCTTTAGCACCAAATCAGATATATGGTAGTGCAGTCTCAATTTAACTTGGATGTTGACATGAACATTATTTACATTGTTTTATTTACATGCAGCATTAATGCTATGGCTGATAACTGATAAAACCAAATGCAATTTTACTTCATTACGACAAGCCTGAAAATCAAATTATTAAGTTGAAAAGTCAGAACTCTGAGCAACGCCTTGTAAAACCTTACTTCTGATCATACAAGTGAAGATCATTTCAGTATTCTTGTTAGTATTATTGTAACTGTGATTCTGAGTTAGCTTGAACGTATTCTAATAAAACAGAAGAACAAGGCATGTACAGGATGAATACTTCCTTTAGCCCTAGTGTTCAGCCACAGATCATACTAGCCTCTGTGGAAACCCTATCAATCAGCAGTACTCAAATGTGACTGTAATTAAAAGTATCATTGTCTAGATTTAGGACGACCAAGCTGAATGTGTTTATGTATTTTTAACAATATATCATTACACGCATTTTAGACCTGTAGAGATTCGTACATAAAAAGAAACGAGTTCTACAGGTCTACAGTTTCCTACATGTAGGAAATTATGCACAAAAAACCTCTATGAAAAACCGTTATCTCCATATAAATGTGTTTAAGGCTCTTTAAAGTAAAGTCTGGCAGTGTGTAACTTTCTCAACCTAGAAAGGTGCAAGTACATTACATAAATTGTGAATAATAGTCTGACTGTTTAAATAAATTAAAAAAATGATTTTTATTCTATTTCAACAACTCAAAAATGAAATATTTACCTGTATGAAGAGTGATGATCATGTCAGCCAAATACATGAGGTCTGACAGATAGTCCAGTGTAAGCCACACAGGCAGGTAACTCATTGCAATTGTAGTGAAGCACGTCCTGAGAAAACATAACCAATGACATTGGGTTGCAAGGGATGTTAAATGATTACAGATTATATGCTTATATGTATGATTACTATTACTGATGATATTGATCATATTACATGTTTTTACCTCAAAATGATGATCACTGTGTTGTAGACAATGGGAGCGATCATGACCTGTAGCCAGACATAATAAAACTGATCTGCTGGATCAACCAGCCACTCTTTCCAGCTGAGGGGGAAATGATGATGAAGAGAAAGAGAGAAGGAAAAGAGGATCAGTCATGATGATGTCAGTATCTAAATGAATAAAAAACAATCTGTCACAGCAGGACATCGTAAACATTTGCCTGTAACTTTAAACTGTGAGGTTTTGTTTTTTTCTTTAATCCCCAAACAAATTAAAATGCAAAATCAAGAATATAGAATTTAAAAAATGCTCTTACTGTGGATAAAAACGTATTAGTATCAAAGAGGCTTGTTAGTTCTTCATCAGTTAATAAGTGATTAAGTCTGAATAAATGTCATCACACTAAATCTAATCAAATCTAATTTCTTCTTCTTTTGTAAAAATGTATAGTCCAACTATTAATTACTCACTTAATTTTCAACTTCTGATCCAGATTACGTTTCCCTTCATCCTTGACTCCATCTTCTCCTTCCTCTTTCTGCCCCCGATGCCTCTTGAACAGTCTCTGCCATTGGTTACCTTTAAAACTTACGTCACCAGTTTTATCCATTCTCCAAAGTGTAGCCTTAGACTAACACATTTTTCTAAACGAGGACGACCTGCATGAGCATTGAACTTTCTCGGACAATAATTCAAACCACCCCGTTGACTTGCATCAGGCAGTACTGCGCGTTTCACCTAACAACAAACCCAGGTCTACCTGAGCCTGGTGATGCAGGTCTCTATGGAAGGAAACCACAACAGATGTCATGTGTCCTCTGGGAATTCCTTCTTCCCCAAGAAAACCAGAGAGGTCTTCCTTTACACAACCCAGAGGCTGCTGCAGTAGAGACAACAAACCACTGGAGTATAGAGCCCAAACTACGGAGAATGTGTCACTGTCAATAAACATACAGATTCTACTGTACTGTACTGTAATATAAGTATTTCACATTAAGAGAGAAAACCGAAAATTTAAAGAGACAATAATGTATTTTTATTCTAATAAGAGAATCTAACCAAAATTACATTTCCTACATTTGACATTTAAATGAAAAATGTAATCTTTAAATGGCAAATTTAAAAATAACTGTAAAAATGCAATTTCAATACCTGAAACAGAAAGCTCACACAGACATGCCAGAGTGAAAATGCACAATTGGTCCTAAATTAAATGTTTTAATTACATCTCGTAAAATCTTAAACTGCAAATGCATTTTTATTTTTTTTCTGTCTTTGCTCATATTTGGCTGATATATCATTATTATAGATATTATCTTATATTATATTATTATATGTCTACTAACCAAATAATGCTACATTAACTTGGTAAAATTCACCACCTTGACAATAAAACTTCACTTTTTACACTTGTTCATGCACATTCAGTTTGTTTCAAGTGTCGGGAAAATTCTTCCATAATCTGGA